GGATCATTCTAGCACGGCGGCGCTAGTCTACAGATCAACTGCGACTTCTGTTCCTCTCAGTAACGTAAGCAGAGGTCCAGGCTTTGTGGCGGCCCGACTGGGAGAGATTGTTGTCGTAGCGGTCTATTTCTCGCCCAATAGAACCCTGGCCGAGTTCGAGGACTATCTGGACCGACTGGGGTCATTAATCCGACAACTTAATCCCTACCCCGTGTTGGTTGCTGGGGATCTTAACGCCAAGTCTGTGGCGTGGGGCTCTCCAGTGGCCGACGCGCGCGGTCGGTTACTGGACGAATGGCTCCTGGAGGTCGGGCTAACCGTCCTCAATCGGGGATCCGAGAACACGTGCGTGCGGCAACGTGGCGGATCCATAGTGGACGTTTCGTTTGCGAGCCCCATTTTGGCACGCCGTGTTCGTGACTGGAAAGTAGTGGTGGATGAGGAGACATTATCCGACCACCGTTATATCCGTTTTGAAGTCTCCGCCTTACCAGATACCCTGACCGGTCCAAATCAGAGGATAAGGAGGGACGGCCCACGGTGGAACCTCAAAAGTCTGGACCGCGACTCTCTGAAAGAGGCGGCTATTGTAGCATCGTGGTTGCCCACAACCACTCATCTGAACGTCGAGAGAGAGGCTGAATGGTTCCGGGACACAATGACGGAAGTTTGTAACGCGTCCATGGCCCGGTCCAGAAATTTCCCACAAAAGAGCCGAGTATATTGGTGGTCTGAGGAGCTCTCCCAAATGCGTAGAGCGTGTGTCGTGGCAAGGCGCCGGTTCACCCGATGCCGAAGAAGGCGGCACAGAGATGCAGGCTTGGAGCCGCTGCTCTACGCCTCTTATAGAGCGGCAAAAATGGCACTGCAGTCCGAAATAGCCAAATCGGTCGCTGCTGCCAGAAGTGAATTTTTGACTTCTTTAAACCGTGATCCATGGGGACGGCCATACAGGATGGTGTTGAAGAAACTTCGCCCCTGGGCCCCCCCACTCACGCAAACTCTGCATCCTCAGTTGGTGACGGCGATTGCCACGGCTTTGTTCCCTCAGCGAGAGGAGCATACGCCACCTGTGATGGTTCGACCTGACTATGAGGAGACTGACGTAAGTGTGGAAGTGCCTGAGGTGACCCCGGGGGAGCTTGGTGCTGCCGTTCTAAAGATGAAAGCCAAAACCACCGCCCCGGGTCCTGACGGTATTCCTGGACGAGTCTGGGCCCTGGCCCTGGAGGACGCCCTGGAGCCCAGGTTGAGGGCGATGTTTACTGCCTGTCTGGCTCAAGCCTCAATTGCACAGAAGTGGAAGACAGGCAGACTCGTCCTCATCCGGAAGGACGGGCGTCCCCTGGACTCACCCTCTGCCTATCGGCCGATAGTACTGCTCGATGATGTGGGCAAACTCTTTGAGAGAGTCATTGCCAGCCGCATCATCGGTCATCTGGAGCATGTCGGCCCTAATCTTTCTGATAGGCAGTTTGGGTTTCGCAAGGGTCGATCAACAATACACGCGGTGCTGAGAGTGAGGTCCCTCGCGCAGGAAGCAGTTTCCCAGGGTGAGGTCGTCTTGGCGGTGTCTCTTGACATCGCCAATGCCTTCAATACCCTGCCCTGGGCTTGCATCAGAGAGGCGCTCCGGTATCATGGAGTGCCCCTTTACCTGCGCCGTACCATCGGGGCCTACTTGTCAGACCGTCGTGTAGAGTATCCATGCAGAGACGGGCTTCGACGAGCCATCGAGGTGACGTGTGGAGTTCCACAGGGGTCGGTGTTAGGGCCGCTCCTGTGGAATTTAGGTTATGATTGGGTGCTGCGTGGTGCCTACCTCAGGGGTGTCGAGGTGACATGTTATGCTGACGACACCCTTGTGACCGCCCGCGGCACAAACTTTCGCCGGGCTGCTATTCTCGCCACTGCGGGAGTGGCTCAGGTGGTGAGGCGTATTCGGCGACTAGGGCTAGAGGTGGCGTTAAGTAAATCCGAGGCCCTATGTTTCTATGGGCCTCGGAACGCACCACCTGCGGACGCCCATATTATTGTGTGTGGCGTCCGTGTCGACGTACAACCTACCATGAGGTATCTCGGCCTAGTCCTAGATCGCCGATGGGACTTCTGTGCCCACTTTGAGCGGCAATCTCCCAAAGTGGTGAAAGCAGCAACAGCTCTCGGCAGACTGCTCCCAAACGTTGGCGGTCCCAACGATATGTGCCGTCGCCTATACACCGGAGTCCTGAGGTCAATGGCCCTGTATGGGGCTCCCGTGTGGGTTGGCACCCTGAGCCGCCGGAGCAAAGCACTTTTGTGCAAACCGCAAAGGGTGTTGGCCATACGAGCCATTCGGGGCTACCGGACCATATCCGGTGAGGCGGCGTGCCTGTTGGCTGGTACTTTGCCTTGGGACCTGGAAGCTGAAATCCTCGCGTCACTGCACTTCTGGCGCGAGGAGCTAAAAGCCCAAGGCCACACGCCAGCCACAGACGAGTTGGGGACGCGTAGGAATATCTTGCGCTCAAACGCCATTGCTGAGTGGGAGCAAAGGCTGGAGCACCCCAGCGCCGGCCTAAGAACCGTGGAGGCCATACGTCCTGTCCTCAGTAGGTGGCTGGACAGGCAATACGGCGCCCTCACCTACCGCGCGACGCAGGTCCTCTCGGGACATGGTTGTTTCGGGAGGTACCTGTTTCGCGTGGCGAAGAGGGAGCCCACAGCGGAATGCCACCACTGTGACGTATGTGCCGAGGAGACGGCCCAACACGCGCTGGAAGAGTGCCCAGCCTGGATGGAGCAGCGCCGAGAGCTGTGCGCTATCGTGGGGCACGACCTCTCGCTGCCTGCCGTGGTTCGTGCTATGGTGGACAGCGAGAGGGCGTGGGGTGCGGTCCTTGCTTTTTGTGAGGACATAGTCACCCGGAAGGAGGCCGCGGAGCGAGAAAGGGAGGCAACTGCCACCCTGGAAATCCGCCGCCGGAGACCAGGGCGCAGGAGGCTGGCCTACGCGCGCAACCTTCCCCCCTGATAGGGAGCCCTGGGGCGGCAGATGTGGGATTAACTGCTGCCCGTAGGGGGATCGAGAGGGGTGCCGTGTCCCTTGCACCGATACGGCACCATTTGGCTGGACCGGGTGTCTAAAGACCCGGAGAGAGGAGGCCTTAGAAGGCCACAGTCGCGCCGGGGTTCGCGGAAGATTGCGTTTTCGTGTTCCCGTGTCCCCGGCAAAAGCGACAGCGCAGGTGCAACGTGGGTTTTTTAGTGGGTACCCCCGTATCCTGGGGACTCCCACATACCCTCGCTGTCTACCCACAAGGTGGCGGGGGATCCATAAAGGATTTTTCCCACGTTAAAAAAAAAAAAAAAAAAAAAAAAAAAAAAAAAAAAAAAAAAAAAAAAAAAAGGCCCCAAGAGCTTGGAATCAAAGGTTGGACTCAGCACTGAAACAGTTGAAGTTCACTCAGCTAGACAACGAACCATGTGTTTATATAAGGAGAAGTCAACACAGGCTAATAATCCTAGCGGTGTACGTTGATGATCTATTGATTTTTTGGAACAATAAAGCAGAGATGCAGCAAGTCAAGAAGGAGTTAAGAGATACCTTCGAGATGCGTGATCTTGGTAAAGCGGATTTGTTTCTGGGAATGCGTCTACAACAAACTGAAGATGACATTACACTAGATCAGGAAGGCTATACAGAGAAAATATTGGCCAGGTTTAACATGCAGGACTGCAAACCTGTTTCTACACCTCTCATTGCTGGTTATAGGTTGACCAAACCGGTGGAAACAAATTATGAGCCGCCTAATAACATTCCTTATCAAGAATTAGTAGGTTCTATAATGTATTTGGCAGTCTGCACAAGACCAGATGTAGCTTTTGCAATAAGTTACTTGAGTCAGTTTAATAGTTGCTATGGAGAGCAACATTGGCAGACACTAAAAAGAGTTCTTCGCTATCTTAAACGCACCAAAAGCCTGGGGCTGGTGTTTAAACAAAGTGGAAGAGATTTAGAAGGGTTTGTTGATGCAGATCATGCGGGTGATGTAACAGATCGCAAGTCCTATTCAGGTTATATTTTTAAATTTGGGTCTGCACCTGTGAGTTGGGAAAGCAGAAAACAAACAGTAGTTGCTTTATCAAGTGCAGAAGCGGAATATATTAGTTTGTCAAATGCTGCAAGAGAAGCAGTTTTCCTTAAGAGGTTATTTGGAGAAATAACTGGACTTAACAAGACTATTAAGCTGAGTAGTGATAGTCAGTCTGCAATAGCTATGGCAAACAGTGAGGACTCTTGCCATAAGAGGTCAAAGCACATTGACGTTAGAGTTCACTTTATCAGAGAGGCACTTCGCAACAAAGTGATCAGTCTGAAGTATCTGGGAACAGAGTCGATGGTAGCTGACATATTCACAAAGGCCCTGCCAAGAGGAAAGTTTGAGTTATGTTTGAGAGGCATGGGTATGAATTTGTGTAAGTGTTGAGTGTGTATCGAATGAGTGATTGAGTGGCCTTATGAGTAGCGCAATGTTACGGAGGAGTGTTAGAGATTTCATAACATTCCGCTAAGGATTACTGACCACTTACAGATAACAGGTGTTACATTTGAAAATTGTACTGTTCCAGTGTGTGTCAATTGCAGTCGAGAAAAAAAAACGTCTTTGTAAAAACTGTCTTTCTATAATTATGTATTTCGTGTTAATTTAATATATTTTTATTATTCTATGTGTCAATAATTTATCTTCATTGAATTCATCATTGATTGGGAATAAATCTTTCCCATCAGAGTTGCCAAAAGCATGATTCATGATCTCAACATCAAATATAAATTTAATGAAAAGAGTACTTATTGTATTTACATTTGCATTTCCCTATCAGTTGCTTCTGTTATGTCACTTATATGTCATCACTACCTCATATGCAAAATATGAGTTATTTCATTGTTTGTTTTTTAATGCCATTACCAATAAATTCAATAACAGTACATCAAAACTCATACAAAAAAGTTAACTTACGGTCATAATAGGTAGAGCTGCCCACGTAAGTTATCATTCTCCCTTTAAAGAGTTGCAAAAAGTGCGCCGGTTCCTTGCCTTGGTACACCCAAGCCTGAGGAGCAGTTCGATTATAGGATTATGTTTGAAGTTTAACTAATTACTTATACGTGGATGTGGTGCTCAAACGACATACCTGAACGGGAAGACGACCTAATTTCACGTACAGGTCCTTGGCTTCTTTTGCACCCAAATCCCTCAGATCATTTGGCGAAGAGCCACCCTAAAAAGTTTATTGGAACGGTGAATTAAAACGAGTGGATTAAAAAATGAATTGTCAACAACGGACTAGGCAAATATCGACTGTGAGGAAAAGTCATTAAGCCTCACCGCTTGTACATGGCTTGCACACACATTTACATCATAGTAAGCCGATCGCCAGCCAGTACGCCGCAATACGGGGTCTATGTAGTTAATACAATAAGATGACTTAAAAATAAATTAATGCCAAATTGTGTAAAAAAGGAACTGTATCCCAGAAAACACGGGTGAGGCACTAATGCTAATGGTTGATTTATTATATTTTTCACTCGCACATAGATCGTAGATGCCTCACAGTTGTAGATGGCACGGAGGAGTCCGGTTATCTCTAGACTAGGTTGTCAACTGTGTGCTTACCATCCAGTAATAAATAATTCGGACTGGAGAAGGGTTGTCAACTATGCGCTTATAATCCAGTAATAAATAACTCGGACCAGAGAAAAGTTGTCGACTGTGCGCTTACCATCGAGTAATAAATAACTCTGACTAATTAAGGGTTGTCAACTGTGCGCTTATCATCCAGTAATAAATAATTCGGACTAAAGAAGAGTTGTCGACTGTGCGCTTACCATCCAGTAATAAATAACGGACTGATCGCCGGTGGGCGCGTGGTAGGTGTAGAGCGCGATGTAGCAGTCTTGGTCGTAGAACGCCGCTTGCCAGGGCCGCTCCAACTCCGCGAGGGGCGCGCGGGCACCGTGAGGGCGCGCGCACTCATCCTCGCGCCGTACGCGCCACATCCGCAGCGAGCCCGACCCGTCGTCCGGCAGTTGGGTCTGCGCCGGCGAGTCATGCAATTCACCCGTTTGTTTTTTAAACGTCAACAGGTCTTACAGAGAATATATAGACTCACCATTTATACGTGGTAATACTACACATACAATATGGTAATACTATAGACATGCAGAGATAATATGTAGTCTGGTTTTAAATGGTTTATTAAAGTCTAAAAAAATGGTAAAAACACGAACAATAAAATGGTATGAAATATTGTAAAAAACCGGCCAGGTGTGCGTCGGATTCGCGCACGAAGGGTTCCGTACCATTATCTACTATGTAATTGTATTTGTATGAGCGCCCATACAACTCAGAAGACTATCTTAATTGGCGTCAACTAAGTATGTACAGGGACACCCTGTAATTTTCAACTTTTTTTTTATATTTTGAAATTTTTACTTTTATTTTGTTTAACATATGAGATTATAGCCGACTAAGAAGATTCGGTTGAGGTCACCTCGGCGGCGAGCCAGGCGTTGGCGGCCAGGCTGACGGCGTCGAGCCTCGTGGTGGCGGAGCGGGCGGCCCTTTGGCGCGTGTCGCGGCGCGCGTCGCACCAGCGCCAGCGGCGGAACAGCGCCGCGAACTCGAGCGGCTCGCGGCCCGCGGCGGCGCAGCTCACGGGGCCCGCGTGGCGGCGCGCGCGCGCCAGGCCCCGCGCCGCCGCCAGCGCGCCCCGCGCCGCCGCCGCCCCCCCGCCCCCCCCCCACCCACGCCCACACGCCGCGCCCCCCCGCGTCCACCACGTACACGCCCTGCGTGTGCGAAAAGTACTGACTTTGTATTCCGTTTTGCCACTGCCAGTATTTATATTACATGGTTTTTTTTATGTGATAAGGTGACAAGAGAGCTTGCGGTTCACCAGATGTTAAGTGATGACCGCCGCCCATGGATATTTGCAACACCCGTAGGGTTGCAAATGCGTTGTCACCTTTTAATAAAGTGGGCCCCGGCTACCTCTCTCACCAGAAGTATTTCTCCGGACGGGCCTGCCCACTCGTGAAACAGCGAAATGTTGCGTGGCCCTGCCACAGTTCGATGTCATAATATAATTAATGTTATCTAATATATAAAATTCTCGTGTCACGATGTTTGTAATTGAACTCCTCCGAAACGGCTTGACCAATTTTCGTGAAATTTTGTGCGCATATCGGCCAGGGTGGAAAATCGGATAACATCTATTTTTCATCCCCCTAAATGTTAAGGGTGGTCCACCCCAAACATTTTTTTTTTACCCTACAAATAATTTATATGGCAAAACGTTTGCCGGATCAGTTAGTATAGTATAATTTTTTCTGTTGAAAACTTACATCATCCGCCAGGTCTTCTCTGTACAGCGGCGCACGCTTGACCTCTTCTAGGCGCGCTGTGGGGCGGTGCGACGGCAGGGCGAGGGGCGCGTGGGTGGCGCGCGGGGGGGCGGCGCGGTACAGTCGCGCCGGCCGTGCCGCTTCAGGGGGCGAAGTGATTCCCACGACGCGCGAATGTGGCTCGAGGAGGTTGCCCAGCATCGCGCGTTCCGCGGCGGGCAGGGTCTGCTCGTAACCGTCGTGCGCGATCACAATGCGACGGGCGGGCGCCCCCTTGTCCGCGCCACGCGACATGCGATAGGCGATCTGTACTTGAAAACGGGTGTAGGTAGATTTGGACTGGCCAAAAATTCAGACGCGTTTTAACATTCAATACATCGTACTACTAAAAAAATCTGAGATTGATTTATCCAAGGGCGTATAAGGTGGTATAGAAAACGAGTAAGAAAGTGAAAAATGCGATTATTTTATTTTGGATAATAACTTTATAGTTTAAATTACATAAATATTATGGACTTCAGCAGTGGACTCAAACATGCTGAAATGATGATAATGATGTGATTTGTTCCGCGACCGTACCTTAGCGCCGAAGATCTTCTCGATGAGATTAGCGGTGCGGCCGAGCCACAGCACGAGTAGCGCACTGGCGTCCAGCATGAACACGCCGTCGGAGGCAAGCTGCGCCCAGGAGACCGGCTCCAGCTGCAGTAGCACCGGCCGCGGCCCGCGCACCCGGTACAGTCGCGCGCCGCCGTTCGCCCCCGACCGGAAGATTCTGCGCGAGTGTACTCAGAATTAAAGAAGCAATCATTAATGTCCTTCCGCGCCCACGCACCCGGTCCAGTCGCGCGCCGCCGTTCGCCCCCGACCGGAAGATTTTGCGCGAGTGTACTCAGAATTAAAGAAGCAATCATTAATGTCCTTCCGTGCCCGCGCACCCGGTAAAGTCGCACGCCGCCGTACGTGCTCGAAATTAAAGTTAATGTTGATGATGGGTCTAAGTGTTGTGGACATCAACTCTTTGAATGCCGTACACCGCACCATCGGGGCTTGAAACGGACACAGGATCATCGGGGTGCGCAGTTGGGTTCCCAGGGGTACTCTTGTGTAACATAAGATATGATTGGGTGCCGTGTGCCACCCACGTTAGGGGTGTCAAGTTGACTGACGCCGACGTTGTAACCTAGGCGGCTATTCTCACGCGGTGGCATAGGTTAGGAGCGGACATAGCCCGCTCTTGCCTTCGCGAGAGCGGGTACTACCTACGTACAATGTACGGCCTACGCGCGCAACCGTCCCCTCTGATAGTGAGTCCCTGGGGAGCATAGACATAGGGATGATTGCCGCTTAATAGAGGCTTGGTGTTGTGTTAGTTAGACCGGCATAGCATGGCAGGAGCGAGTGTCCTAACTCTCGAAGAGAGGCCTGAGCATAGTCGCGCCGGGGCTTCGGTTACTCGCTCTTCCATTTATTCTAGCCGCCATCCCGATCTCGTGGCGGAAACCCATAAAAGATTTTTCTACTTTTCATGTAATGAAATGGTATTGTGGATATACACAACCAGAGACACCGCTTACAATCAAATAGACCGCATGTCATAAGTCGCAAGCGAGCATATTGTTTACTTGATTTTAAGTGATTACCACCGCCCATGGCACAGCACAGCCAGGAGCCATACGTTGAAGATGCCTCGCGAATCTTTTAAAGAGTGGGCTCTTCACGCCGGTCTTCTATCAGGCCGTGTTACTCCCCCGGAAGAGCGTGGCCATCCGTGCGACAGTACACCGTTGCATGGCAGTTTCTTTTCAATAAAGGCAATAAGGAGATCTAAATATATTATAACAAAAACGCACGAACACACACATACAGACACACACACGTGCGCACACACGCACACATACACACACACGCACACAAATTGCACTCGAGCCTTTTATTTCTTTTTTGTTTTAGTAAATAATGCATTTATTAGTATATTTTCAATTAAGTTTCGCCACTTTTTTTTCTGTTTACCTTTTTTAAATCTGTATATGTATTTATATAATGGAAAACTGTAGTTTGCTTACAATGAGGTGTGATAATCGGGACAAACTATCATATTATAAGCTGTTGTTTTCCCTAATAAACGAATAAAGGAATTTCTCCGTCGATACCGACCTTATACCGTCGCGGAAGTAGGACAGCAGTCGCGGCGACTCCTTGGCAGCGTTCTCGCGATGGAGAACCGTGGGCGTGGAGAGGTGGGCGGCCAGCTGGGAAGCGCGGCGCAGGGCGACGGCGCCCAGCGCTGCGCTCCGCTCGCTCGCCCACGCGTGTATGTGTCTCTCGCTGCACTCGCCGTTCTCTTTGATTTCGCGTCGCTGTAAACGTGTGACGCGCGAAATTAGTCGCGGCTTGCGATGTCGAAGGTCTTCGTTTGCTATTCGCAGTGGGTTCGAATCTCAGTGAATTATGAAAGCAAGTTTTGGATTATATGGACATAAATCATCGTATCTGTTTCCGTTCCGGTGTAAAACGACGGGCTGCCATCATTTGGATCTCCTAAGCATGTATGGTGTTTTTTCTTTAAATTCAAAAAAAGCAGAATTCGTCTAACCTATGTATGATTAAAGAAAAAAAAAAAGAATTTGTACCCTACATCAATTTCATACGTCTAACTTCTCTAATTCTATTCAGCACATATTTTTATACTGTGAGTCATATGCACCCATATCCAACATCGGTGTTGACATAGCACAATACATAAAGCTTTCCTTCGAGCGCCAAATGCGATTATAAAAGCGCGTTGAAAGGAATACAACTTCCTCTTTCTTATTTATTGTACTTCTAAGATAAAATACGTGTTACAAAAAGTTAAAACTTACTATTACATCGGGTCCTGCGGGTTGCCCCGGTAGAGAGCATGAGTACACCAGGTATGCATCGGCGTCGTAAAACGTGCCATAATGTGGCCTGGGTAGCATTTCGGTGCCGTTCTCCTGAAAAGAAATATGAAAATCAACATTAAAAGCGATCTGCTCTTTGCAGGACCTGGAAAGGGCATCTAAGTTTATAAGCGTTTCTTCATTGTGACTCCTATTCATATAATGTACACTAAGATGGAAAATAAATTACTGAAATTGAAATCTAGTATGCAGTCTGTGTCAAATATCAGTGGCCGAGTTCTAAGGAGTTTTCCAGCTTTAAGAATTCCCACGTGTTGTATTTTTGTTTGAATTTCCAGTGGGCGAATATTCTGCTGTTTAAGGAAAGGATGTAAAGTACTTTCATTTTTACACTTCCCACTCCCCATTCCCCCATTTAGAATCACAGCAATATCGTAACGTTGGATTAGCAAATCGTTGGATGTAAATGTTACTTCGAGATTATTGTCAGTTTTTTAAAAGTAACTAAATCAAAAAAATGCAAGATGTCGAATTCCTGGCAACATCAATGACTAATGGATGGAACTTGTGATGAAATGCCAGTAGTAAATATGAAGTGTAAGTACCTATGTGTTTCAATTGTCTTTTCCAAAGAAATTTTCAAATGAAAGATGGCATAATGAATGGATCGCTTAATTACTCTTCACGTTGTTACAAGAAAACGTTCGTTTTCCCGAACGGTCTCCAGTAGCGACTCAATTAATAATTGCCGTCGTGATATATGATGCTTCATTAATTAGTAAAGTTAGAATTAAGCCAACCGTAAAGGACCGCAAGTTTTTGTACTCTGTGTATTAAAATAAAATTTTAGGCGAATTGCAATTGGAATTCTTAGTAAATTTCGTTGAACCCCCTTATTTTTTATTCAGTTAAATGAATGAACAATAAATGTTAATGACAGAGTGAACTTTACTGTCAGTCTCATTAAAATGAGAGGGGAAAGTATACTTGTGTTTACCGACACTTTTATGATTACACTTTGCGGTGTCTTATAAATTGTGATCACACGTCAGAAATAAGTGCATCAATAAATCACAGTAAAATTGGAATTTAGGAACTTAGTGCAAGTTATAACACAGTTCTTTGTATAGAGTTTATTAAATATATGTTATACTAGCCCGGCAAAAGTTGTTTTGCCACATAAATTATTTGTAGGGTAGAAAAAAATGTTTGGTGTGGACCACCCTTAACATTTAGGGGGATGAAAAATTTATGTTGTCCGATTCTCCAACCTGGCCGATATGAACACAAAATTGTACGAAAATCGGTCGAGCTGTTTCGGAGGAGTTCAATTATAAACAACGTGACACGAGAATTTTATATACAGCGTGTCGTTACCATCGCGACAATAAATGAACACACGTCTAACGCTACTTGCCAATAATCATAAAAAAATATTAACCTTAAACAAAATCCATAATTAAAAAAAATGTTTTACAAACAAACTAATTAAGTAAAAAAGAAACAACATTTGTAACAACCTATACAAGTCCCGCCACAGCGTCGCATTACAAGCCTCTCCTTCTAACAGTATGTTTTGTCTCTTTTAAATTCATTCAACCCATTCATATGCTTTGTGACCTTTACAAATGAACTTACGTTACAGTTTTATACGTAAGGGTGTTCTAAGATTGTTTGTTTTGGAAAATTTAATAACTCGGTAAATATTGAGGTTTAACGAATGTAAATGTTTAATACAATTTTAAAAAGTTATCATCTATATGTGTGCTCATTTATTGTCGCGGTGGTAACGACACGCTGTATATTAGATATTGCCAATAAACATAAAAGTTTTAGCTGTGGTAGGGCCACGCAACAGTCTCGCTGTTGCACAATGGGCATTCCCTGATAAGTTACACAATCTCACAGAAGACCTGCGTGAAGTGGAAGTGTTATACTTCTGCGTTTCGTCTAGTGAGTGACGTAGCCGAAGCGTACTTCATTAAAAGATGGCAACGATCTGCAACCGAACGGGTGTTGCAAATGTACATGGGCGAGGGTTATCACCTAAAAACACCACCCTCTCGCTTACCAACTTGTCGCATAAAAAATACAATAACGACATGTATATTATTTTGCACTACTATACATATATGTGTAATGGATATTCTGCAGAATTTGCACATAAGAATCGGTGAGAAGATATTCGTGTCGTGCCATGTTTTTTTGGATTCGAATTGAATAGTTCACAATCATTAAACTACGCAAAACTCGTTAGAGATATTTCCAACAAAAGCAACCGTGAAAGAAGATTCGCGTCAATGTTCTCTTAATCTTAAAAAAGTACAAATAGAAATATGCGTGTAATGGCCGTCGCGTCGTTCATTAATCTGCGCGTCAAGGCGCCCGAGAGCGCCACGGCCCAGCGGCTCCATTCAATTATGACAACCCGCGTATTTGTCAAAATAATTGGCCGTTTGTTATTTGATACTAGCTTTCACCCGCGACTTTGCTCGCGTTGAAGCCCTTAAATAAGTGTCCTAAAAATATATTCTTTAATAAAAAGAATTCTATGTCCCTTCTAATACTTCTAAGAATATGTGTACAAAGTTTCATGATAATCAGTTGAGTAGTTTTGGCGTGACAACTTTACAGACAAACTTAAATTCACATTTATAATATTATTAGGGATTTCCTCGGCGAATACCGTACTGGCCCGGCTTATGGAAGTGAAATTGGCGAGTTCGACCATTAAGTCTAGCCCAATATGATTGGACTTTCTATTCCGCAAAATGCAATTAACTATAATTTTCCTCGGTGCGATTTCTTGTTTCTCCCTTTTGACTTCTCACACGCTATGCCGTCTCGCAATTTCGTCGTTTGAAGTAGGTAAACAATATTTATTCAATCAATAATTCCGTAACTCGAAAATGTAACACATGAACTGAGTAATTAGGACACAACTTAATATTTTCACTGCATCAGGGATTTTAGAAATAGGACATGACACTACATCTAAGACTTCTATCGCTGATCATCGCAAGTTGTATTGATTATTAAGTAAACTCTCAAATAATTTTGTAAATGTACAATTTTTGGGCAAATGTCAGGAGGTAATTGACCACCAATTAATTACATCGGTTCCAAATACATTAAAAGGAACAGTTACCCTACACTATAAACAAAAATGCAGTTAATAGGGATATCGACACAAATAAGATGGTGTCGAGGTCTTCTTGTATCTTGTATTAACTGATGTTTCTGCTTTCAGTCCCGAAACTATTAAAGCTTCATCTGACGCAGAACCGGTGGGCTAGCCAGAACCCACGGGTTTGGGTCGAGGTCTTCGGCGCGGGAGGTCATGTGTTCGATTTCCACACTGGACATGTATTTGTGTGACCCACTTCTTCCCGCTTCGGATCTGGGTTTTTGTCCACAAGAAATATATGTTTGTAAATCGCTCTTACAACTTAGGGTAATGTTAACCTACAGCAGGGGCAATGCTTAAAAAAATGTATTGCTCACTTATTATAAGACCGCAACGGCGTTGCTAAGGTGCAATAATATCTTCTAAAGTCTTCAGTTCTATAGAAAAAGCGCGCGCTGAATTGCGCGGCAATAAACCAACGCGTGGTCGGATAATAGACGCTTAGACGCAATTACGGAGGCGCGTGAGCTGTCATGTTATCGGATTAGGCTCGCATTTAATCACTAGATAGTTTGTGTTGGCTGCCATAGCGCTTTGCAGGCGTTAATTAGTTTGCTCAGTCAACGATGAGCTGCAATAAAGCACAAAAGAGGTTACAATAAAGGTTATGTTGGCGTAAAAAGATTGTATCTTTAGTAGAACTATTGGTAATCGCGCCTTACCTGGATTTTATGCAACGCTACATGTAATCTGAGATAGTATGGTCACATTCTTCGAAGATAACACGTGCACGCCGTTGTATTAACCTACGAGGTTAGATGTCGTCAAAAATGCCCCAATTTGTGTGTGGAAGGGATTCGGTAATCCCAACAACAACTGCGACCTAGATCTATTAGTCCAGAAATTAAATAACTGCCAACAATGTGCGAGAAAGCCGGGAGGAGGAAGAAGAATAAGGAATAATCTTTTTATTAGTGAAAATAAATGCCCTAAAAAGTTATGATATTTTAACCGACTTAAAAAAGGATGAGGTTGCTCAATTCGACCGTATATATTTTTATTTTTTTTATGTGTGTTCGCGGATAACTAAGTCGTTTATGAACCGATTTTGATGATTCTTTTTTTTGTCGGAAAGAAGATACCCCAAGGGTGGTACCATGGTAAGGAAACCCGGATCTGATGATGGCATCCCAGAGAAATCGAAGGCCATCATTGAATGTTATAGGCATTAATGTTTTTAATTAATTTTCTGATTGAAGTCGGTATTTTTTTTTCTAAAAATTATTGATTTATTATAATTATGGGGATATCTATTTATTTGGTTTTTTTATAAAAATAAACATATAGATATATATATATATATATATATATATATATATAGCATATATATATATATATATATATATATATATATATATATATATAGCATAGCATATATAAAATAAAATTATTGTGTCGTCTCCTTTGATGTCAGAAACTATTGTTGAACTCCAGATGCTAGGTAACTACTAAGTACAAATCGAGCATGGAACCGTCGTATGATATATTCATGTAAATTATTATAAGTCATATGTCATCATCGCCTTCTTGCCCTTATCCCACCTAGTCGGCACATGTGAAACATGTTTTAAGCGATTTTGGCTATGTTTTTTAAGACCGATCGCATGCCTGACGTTAATTCTGCTTGGGAAACAAACACCCAGATTCGGAACAACTAGACTGCCTTTCCAGTGTAGACCTATAGATACGAGTGGAAAGGCATTTCAATGCCTTTCCAGTGTATTAGTTGTCCTGTGACCTATAGTCATCAGTTTGATGAGTCAGTAAAAATGGCGGCTGTACTGTGAACAGTAGACAACATGCAGAGAACATCCCATAATTCTAGCGGCATGAATAATTCATACATATGTTACAGTCACACAAATACTTCATAATAAAATAAATTATAAAAAAAAACTAATTAAAC